CTGTAATCCCAGCAATTTGGGAGGCCGAGGCAAGAGGACTGTCTGAGCTCAGGGGTTAGAGACTAGCCTGGGCATCTTGGCGAGACCTTGACTCTACAATAAATCAAAAAATTAGCTGGGTGTGGTAGTGAGCACCTGTAGTTCCAGCTACTTGAAAGGCTAAGGCAGAAGGATCGCCGGAGCCCAGCAGGTCGACACTAGGGTGGCCATGAGCATGCCACTGCGCTCCAGCCTGGGCAACAGAGTGAGACTCTAACTCAAAAAAAAAGAAAGATGAAGAACCAAGCCCAAGCTTAACTTAACTAGCTAGCTAACTGGCTGGTTAACTGGATAGCTGCTGGATGTTTTTTGTGATCCAGTAGGTGAAGGATATGTTCAAAGAAGACAAAGTCACCCAGGAATGAAACAGCCAAGGTGGGAGGGTATAACTGAATAAAAGCAGTGTGGTCAAGGTAAAGACAAGCTAAACCTTTCTGAGAATCCCTTCCAGGCAGTTGTAGGTGCAGGTGGTTATAAGGAAGAACAGCAGCATCCTGTATAGGTTAAGTGGGATGCCTGGGAAAAAAAGGGGGAAAGAGCCATGTGGTGGCAGTGGTTGAGGAGGGTGGGGGACCGAAGGCAGGTAACACGCTGACAGCACTCACTAGTGGTGGCTTCAAAAATATGTGCACATGGGGACCCCCCCCCGGCAACAGACAGCATTTTTTCAGCTTAAGAACCGCTTCAGAGAACTGTTTTCCCCATCAAAATCCCTTCTCTTGAGAAAAAAACAAGCAGATTCACTACCACCAAGGGCAATGTGGTAAGAGTTGGTCTCTCAAAGCCAGCAAGGCAGATTTCTTTCTGTAAAGGGACTTAGGACACTGTCAGTCTCCTTTTGGAAAAGTACAAGTTCTCCCACAGGTCATAAAACAAATAACTAATGGATGCCTAGGGAACTTCCTTCCTCCAGCACCTTCAAGCCTAAGTGGAAGATCTTCATACATCCATGGGTCATCCTTAGATTCTAAAAATAAATTATTATTATTATTATTATTTTGTCTTTTTTTTGAGTTGGAGTCTCACTCCGTCGCCCAGGCTGGAATGCAGTGGCATGTTCACAGTCACCCCAGCATCAACCTGCTGGGCTCTGGCGATCCATCCGCCTCAAGTCTTACAAGTAGCTGGAACTACAAGTGCGTGCTGCCCTGCCCAGCTAATTTTTTTGTTTTATTTTGAGTTGGAGTGTCACTCTTGTCACCTAGGCTGGAGCACAGTGGCACACTCACAGCCACCACAGCCTCAACCTGCTGGGCTTAGGCGATCCTTCTGCCTCAGCCTTCCAAGTACCTGTAACTACAGACGCACGCCCAGCTAGCTTTTGTGATTTATTGTAGAAACAAGGTCTCACCAAGGCTGGTCTGGAAGCCCTGGGCTCGGGCAATCTTCTTGCCTTGGCCCCCCTAAAGTGCTGGAATTACAGGATGAGCCACTGCGCCTGGCCTAATTTTTGATTTATTATAGAGATGAAGTCTCACCAAGTTGCCCAGGCTGTTCTCGAACCTGTGGGCTCACACAACTCCCTCATCTCAGCCTTCCAAAGTGCTGGGATTATAGGCTTGAGCCACTGTGCCCAGTCAGTAAATTAATTTTAATTGGCTACTTAAGGATACATATAATGCAGCATTTAAAAAAAAAATTTGGAGTCTCACTCCTTCGCCCAGGCTGGAGTGTAGTGGCACACACGCTCATGGCCACCCCAGCATCGACCTTATGGACTCCAGCGATCCTTCCGCTTCAGCCTTCCGAGTAGCCAGAACTACAGACACACGCTACCAGGCCCAGCTATTTTTTATTTTACTGTAGAGACGAGGTCTCCCCAAGTTGCCTGGGCTGGTCTTGAACCCACAGGCTCAGACAATCCACCCGCCTTGGCCTCCCAAAGTGCTGGGATTACAGGCTAAGCCACCAAGCCCGGCCAATGCAGCATTTTTATATGAGGAAACATTACAAAAACAAACAAGGCAACTGCCAATCTCTAATATAATAAGTTAGACATTTTATGTTAGAATTGTGTCAATTTTTCCCATTATTAAAATGCAAACATGCTACCCACTGCTAAATTCCTCAGCCTTTTGCTTCTGCTCCCCCATCTGAATTCATATAGATTCCATTTCAGGGAACAGGTGTGACACAGCATGTGCCGAGAGTGGACAGGCTCTGTCGCTGCTGGAAGATAATGTCCCTGTACTAAGCACTATCTTATCTCCCCTAGCCAGCTTTGGGCTGCACAGAATGAGACGGCTGCAGGCTCCGAGGGGAAGCCGGGCTAAGCCTTGCCGACACACTGTTTAGTAAATATTTATTGACTTGACATGAGATGCCTTTCCATGTGTTAGCATGTACCATTCTAGTGATATCATTTGAATTTAATGAGTCTTCAGTGTACTTTAGTGCTGTCCTCTGCTGCAAAAGATAGTAAGGAAATGTTTCAGGAGGCAATTTAACATAATTGGCATTAAGAACTTAAAACCATATACCTTCAGTAATCTGTTCTAAGGAAATAAACAAAAATGGCTGGGCACGGTGGCTCAAGCCTGTAATCCCAGTACTTTGGGAGGCCGAGGTTAGAGGATTGCTTGAGCTCACAGGTTCAAGACCAGCCTGGGCAACTTGGCAAGACTCTGTCTCTACAATAAAAATTATTTTTTTTTAAATTAGCCGGCATGGTAACATGTGCCTGTACTCCCAGCTACTTGGAAGACTGAGGCGGAAGGATCGCCTGAGCCCAACAGGTCAAGGCCATGGTGGCCGTGAGTGTGCCACTGCACTCCAGCCTGGGCGACAGAGTGAGACTACGATTCAAAAAAATACAAATAAAAATAAAAAAACAAAAATGTAAAATATATGCATAAGGATACTCATTGTAATAATATAGCTAAATGTTGACTGCTATGAGAATGGTTTAATTAAGGTAGACTCATGATTAGGGTATTACACAAATATTAAAAATGACATTTTAAAATAATATGTAATAACAGTGAAATACCTAAGATATTAATAAAGTAAAATGCAGGATATAAAATTATATACAGTATTACCCCAATTTTGAAAAATATATATTAACACCTTTATATGCACAGAAAAAGAGACTAGAAAAAAGCGTATCAACTGACTTATATGGAGGAATCAACATTTTTTTACATGATGTCCAAAGTTTCTTATTTTATATACAGAATAATTTATTTGAATAACTATAGGCTAAGAAAACTAACATTTGAAATGTCTATTTTGCAGCAGACTCTACACTAGAAGTTAACCAATTTTGTAATCTCCATGGCAATCCTGAGAGGCAGGTCTCTCAGTCCCTGTGTGCAGACGAGGAACTGGGCTCCACTACTGGAGCAATCTGCTCAGGGTGTCCCCGATTCAAGCCCAGACAATGCCCATGTTTCCTGCTGCACCAAATGCTTCACCTGCTGTCGCTCCCAGCAGGCCCTTGGGAGACTTACAAAGGAGGTCACTGACAAAACAGAGTTATGAACAGCTTGCCCAAGAGCAAGGCTTTCTTTTGCTTTCTAAACTCTTCATTTCTCCCTTCAAAAGTAGAAAACTCTTTCTTCACGCAGACAAGAAACAGAGGCTTGATAGCTAAGGCTCAAGTTTGTACCTACTTGCCCAGCACCATATGCATGTGTGCCCTCTCATAGCCGTGGTATCGGCTGTCCTAATTACTGGTTTGGCATTTTGTCAGATTATGAGCAGGACAGGGCAGACTGCACACCCCCAACACGTCTAGCCAGCTGGCTCCTTGGTCTCTTCCTTGGATACTAAAACAAACAGGCTGTGTGCTCCAGCTCCCTACTCAGACCAAGGGGGTGAAGGGAGCAACAAATATCCCAGCTATGTGAACAATTAGAGGAATAACTGGCAGCACATTTGATCTTCCATAACTTTATTTCAGCCAAATAGTCAGGGCTCCCAGGCGTGGGGGGTTCTGTCACACCCAGAGCCTTAAGGTCCAGCTCTCCAGCTGGCACTGTTCCAGATGGGTCCCCAGTGACATTAACTGTACACCCTCACGAAGGAGGCAGAGGGAAAGCATTTCACCACTGTTCCAAGGCCTCTTCATCATTTCCTGTTCCCTCCCAGAGGCAGAGACAGGAAGCTACTTGGATAGGGGTCACAGCAAGTCCGTGACATTCAGGACTGGAACGTGCTGCTTGAGCCACCACTTTTTCCTCTTGGACCACAGTTCATAATTTAAAAAACAGAACTACCTAGGGACTTTTATCTAGGAAGAGGGAGAAGGGGACATCTGTAGACTTTAAGTGCACCAAAATAACCATGGGACTAGCCTGGTCCGTTCTGATTCAGACCCTTAATCTCTTTTTGCACCCACATGAGAGAACTGCATATTCATAAAAGTTTGGGTGAAACACCTTTAAACAGACTTTAAGTTTCTGTTAACGTGTCCATGCATACATCTGAAGAGTTTATAATGAAAAATGTTTCTTTTTTTTTTT